GAAGTATAAACAAATTTACACACAAAAAAATATGCATATACTGTAATTAAATATTAATTTCTTGTACTTCAAATGCTTCAGAAATTCATATATCATCAGCAAATTTATCATAAAATCATCACAAGCATCAAAATTCAAAATATATTTTGAATTCTAATAAGTTTAATACTTTAATCAAGATCATTGAAATAAAACAAATCTGATTTATTTATTATATAAAATCATTTCTTTAATAAAATTCTCTAATATTATTTAAAAGAAAATGAATTCTTGTTTTGATTACTTAATAATGAGTTCTTTTCTCTATAATAAATATATTTTAAGTCCATTATAAAGAAAATCTTTTGTTAAAATTCACTCTTATTTAAAAGAAAAAAGCAAATTAAATAATCACTTTTCGTAGACAGTAAAACAATAATAATAAAATTTAATAGATTAAAAATTTTTTATATATTCATATACTCTTTTGATTAATTATTTTTTTATTTACACCAAGTTTAGAAGATAAAGAATCATTATTGAATTACTATTGAAATATATCGAAACATAACATAATAAGAAAGAATGTTAAATTTAATTTTGCAAGAAACAATTAGGATAAAATTTTGAATATATATATATATATTTAAATTTTATAAAAAATAATTGAAGTTTCTTATAAATATAATTTTAAAAAATCTCTGAAGCTGTCACTGTACGAGACTGAATCTGATATTCGCAGCTGCATTCCCATGCGGGTGGCCGTCTTCGTGCGTTAAAAGCGCGCTCATGCGTACGATCAACGAAGGGAGAGAAAGAGAAAGAGAGTCGAAAAAAACGGAGGTTGCAATAAGTAATTCTCTGTAACTATAAATAAAGGGCGATACGTCCTGGACGGCTTCGTTCGCCTGTAAATCTCGAATCGGGGCAATAATTACCAAAGCAACCTGGAATTTGCCGCGGATCAAGGCGATCTCCTCGTGTATCCGGGTTTCACCGGATCTTCCTGATAGAGCTCAACCTCACGGACGACGGTAAGGTAGAATCTATTCATTCTCATCGGTAATCCAGGATTCTGTTATAAATCAGACCTTGAAGTCGATGCAGACCTCTTTTGCGCCGGCAAAATTATATTGCTTCGTAATACATGCTAAGATAATTTTATATACATATATATATAATTATTTGTTAAAGCATTTTGTGTATTAAAACATTTTTATCTGCTTTTCATCCTTGATATCATGATTCGTGTAACCAGAACTAAAGTGACATTTATTTTAAAAAATTTTGTTTTACAAAAATATAATTTCAAAATGCACAAAATGTTATAGCAGTATCTAAAAAAATACAATTTATTATACTGACACTTGTTTGTAGAAGTAAGACAATATATATTTATTTTCGCTTCGTTAATCACGGAGCTACATTGTAATATGCGCACAGTTCAATACGAAATTATTTGTTATTATTTAAGAAATGCACTAAAAAATCAAGACTACAATTTTCCCTTGATTGTCGGATAAAATCGAAACAGTGTCATTGCGTAAACATGTATCATATTAAAAGATTGCAAATATATGTTTAAAGGGCCAATATCACAATCGGGCTAAATTACATCTTTTTAAATTGAATTATATTTTTTACCTAATATGATTTTTTTAATTATTTTGCATATAAAAGTATCAAAGTACAAAAAATTAAAAAATCAATAAAATTATAAGATATTTTTTATAATATTTATATGTTATTTTAATTTAGATTTTATTTTAAATAAATTTCATTCGATCTGATCTTTGTGGTAACATTATTGGACTAGCAA